GGACAGATACGTCAAGTTCGTGAAGGAGCGCACCGAGGTGGAACAGGCCTATGCGAAGCAACTGCGGTGAGACCCTCGGGTGCACCGGCCCTGGGCGAGCGGGCCGCCGCCCGGAGGGCTGGGGGCTCAGCTTCCGGGCTCTGTCTCCCCTTAGGAGCCTGGTGAAGAAATACCTGCCCAAGAGACCTGCCAAAGATGATCCCGAGTCCAAGTAAGGTTGGCGAGAGGGGGGTGCAGGCCCAGGTCTGGGGGCGTGCGCGGGTCTCACTTCCTCTCCCTGGGCTGGGACATCCCAGGGCTCACCTCACTTCCCCCTAGAGGTGAGAGCGTGGATGTCAGACCTCGGCTGTCTAGGGTTGAAACTTCCCTAGGTAATCCCACCGAAACTCACTATTGTGTGTCTGAACTGCTGGAGCAAATGACTCAAGGTCCCTCCTTCTGTTTTCCTCACCCGTTAAATTTCCCCACCGATTACAAAAGCGGTGACTTCGGTGGGGCACGGTGGCTTATCCCAAGCACTCTGGGTGGCTGGGGCTGGAGAGGATCGCTGGAGGCCAGCCTGGGCAACATAATCATGAGACGCAGCCTCTGCAAAAAATAATTAAGAAATTAAGCTGGGTGTGGTGGCACAGCCCTGTCGCTTGAACCCAGGAGTTTGAGGCTGCAGCGAGCTGTGATCACACTGCTGCATTTTGGCCTGGGCGACAGAGTGAGACCCTGTCTCTTAAAAAAAAAAAAGAGAGAGAGAGAGAGAGAAATCAAGGACTTTGGGCAAGAGACTTCAGGTCAGCGCCTGTTTTCCTCATGTGTGAAATGGGGATGTGATGGTGCTTTGTACCTTGTAGGGCTTGCGTGAACTTGTGCTGCATTAGTGTGTTAAAACAGTGCCCAGCTCATAATAAGTGTCGTAGGAACATTTGACTTTTTTCCCAGTCTCCAGTTCCAAAATCCAAAAAGCTCTAGAAATTGAAAGCTTTTTTTTTGGAAACTTATTAGATAGTAATCTGATAGTGAACTGACTTGATGCTAACTGTGGTATTTATATATATTTATGTATTTTTTGAGTCGGGGTCTCACTCTGTTGCCCAGGCTGGAGTGTAGTGACATGATCACGGCTCACCACAGCCTCAACCTCCTGGATTCAAGTGATCCTCCCACCTCGGCCTCCGAGTAACTGGGACTGCAGATGTGCACCTCCAAGCCCGGCTAAT